CAATACTCTACCATCCTCATCTTTGATGCACCTCACTTGGTCCAGATCCCGGGCCTTCCTCTCCCTCGCTTTAGCCAGCCGAAACAACTTCATGTCCCCTCCTTTCTCCCCTAATTCCTCGTATAAACGGCTAAACGCTGCATTCTTAGCCTCCGTGACCGCCAGCTTCGCCTCTTTCCTAGCCACTTTGTACCTCTCTCTATTCGCTCTCCTCTCCTCCTCGCTTGAGCTCCCTGCCAACTTCACGTACGCTACCTTCTCGCCTCCACTTTACCTTGGACTATGTCATTCCACCACCAGTCTCCTTGGTGCCTGCCAAAAAAACCCTTCGATACACCTAGCACCTCTCTCGCCGCCTTCCTTACATAGTTCGCCGTAGTTGACCACATAGTGCTCGCGTCTACACTACTCCTCCAAGCTCCCATAGCAGATAACCGCCCCTCCAATTCCTGGGCTTTATCCTTGGTTAAAGCTCCCCATCTAATCCTTGGTCGGCCACGAGCATACCTCTTCTTCCTCTTCATCATAATGCCAATGTTCATCACTAAGAGCCTATGCTGAGTCGCGAAGGTCTCTCCCGGGATAACTTTGCAATCCTTGCACAACCCTCTATCACACCTTCTGAGGAGAAGGTAATCGATCTGAGTCTTCGCCGCCGAACTTCGGAAAGTAACCAGATGCTCCTCCCTCTTCAGAAAAGTTAAGTTCGCAATCACCAGCTCGAAAGCCTTAGCGAAGTCTAACAGCGAAGTACCTCCTCCGTTCCTATCCCCAAGGCTAAAGCCACCATGCACCTCGCCATAACTACCAGCAGCCGCCCCGATATGGCCATTAAAATCCCCTCCAATAAATAACCTTTCAGTAGGAGGAATATTACGCACAATCTCATCCAGGCCCTCCCAAAAGCGCCTCTTAACCTCCTCATCCAAGCCCGCTTGNTACTTCGGAAGGCCCAAACCCGGGCCCAAACCAGAAAATAGCCGGTTGCAACTACAAGTATACTAAAAATACTAAAAATACGCTTAAAATGGTGCTAACTAGATAGCCACAAATTATCTAACACAGAGAAAGAGACAAGAAAACGGGAGGTACCAACTCCCGATGGAAAGAACCTGGAAATATGACTTGATGCACCCGGAGATGCTCCGCTCTACTCGCCCGTATGCCTCGCGCTTGCCTGGGCAGCTGCAGCAATTCCCGCAAATATAACCTGGGTGCTTTGGAACCCGACATCCAGCCCTTTGTGACTGTCAAATGGCCTGCTCCGCTATGCTTGTCCGTGCACCTCCCACCTGTCACCAAACAGCCACCAAATGTGCTACCTGCAACACACACAGCAAACCCCGAGGCCAAGAAAAGGGGGAGGACTGTCACCAGAACGGTCACCGGAAAACAGTGCCTGCCCGAGAACTAGAGGTACGCCGAGGCAAGGTTTGAAGAAAGGGGAAACACAGGGGAGGGTGGTGTGGCTGGGCCGGAAAAGCAGAAGATAGCTTGCGCCGGTGGGTCACCGGTCGTCGGCCTAGCTGCTGCTAGGGTTAAAAGAAAGGGAAAGGAAGAGAGACCCGACAGAGAGAAAGGAGAAAGAAAGGAGAGAGAAAGGAGAGGAGAGGAGAGAGAAAGAGAGGGTCGAACTTACCTGGTTCATCTGGACGAATCGCCGGCGCTGAAATTTGCCGGTGGAAATGGCAGTGTTACCGTTAGAGAGACAGGCGTGGAAATGGAACTGTGTACTCGAGTAAGATTTTTTAAAAATCCTTTTAAAAATAAATAAAAAGAGAAACCAAAATAATTGGCTGGAGTCATTTTATATAATAATAGACCCATCTAAAATAGTATCACTTATGCTCTTCTGAATTTGACTTATTTTTGTTTCACCGTTTGGTTTCAGGGGCTTCCATGATGTTGGCAGAGTTGGCAATGGAAGCTGGCTTGCCTGATGGTGTTCTAAATATCGTTCATGGAACCCATGTAAGTCTTTTCCTATAATTGCTAGTGATATGTCTTTTCTGATTCTTTGTAAAGTCCAGTAAACGTATTAAATTCCTTAATAGCCTTCTTATCCTATATCTTAAGCAACACCATAAGATTGAGTAAAACTATGTAATGAATTTGCCTTTTATCCCACAAGATAAAAAATATATTGATGCTTCCAAGGAAGGCATTTTTCTTGGCCACATTCCATCACATCCATACCCTTTTAAAACACAACTTAGTGGTATTAGTAGTTGAGATATGTTTGGGTCTTTTGGTGGTGTATTTTATGTATGAATATTCATGATACCTCTCTGTCTTACAGGACATTGTTAATGCTATATGTGATGATGACGATATCAGAGCCGTATCATTTGTTGGCTCAAATCAAGTAAGTACCATTGTTTTTTTGACAATTTAAGCCACAATTCCTAAGTGCTTTATGTGTAGTTACAGATACAGGACATTAAGTAGTACAGTGTTCTCAAGACCAAATGAATCTATAATTTGCATGGTTTTGATCTTCTGAATTCTGTAGCTTGGTTTGGTTATGTTGTCTAGTGCTGGATCAGTAGCTGGTTTGTTATAACTATTTGTGGGTGTCTTCTTTCTTCTTCTTTTTGTTTTTTTGTTTTGCATATTTTTTTTGGTTTGGTTTTTGGGTTGGGCATAGCTTGTCTCTGTATGCTTTTTTCTAGTCATGATCAGCCGCTATCTATGTTTTCTGGTTTTGGAATTTTTAGTTAAATACCCAAAAAGGTGCTGTTACTCTATAAATTTAGAAACTATTTCAAACGCGTTATCATTTATCAGGGAACATGAGCAAAGAAAGTTTGCCCCTTTTAATGGAAAATATTTTCTGGTGTTTGGTGTCAGGAAATGACTTATTCTCTAAAAAATGTTTTCCGTCATCCCAAACATGCCCTAGATGCTCCATATTTTATCTTTAAAGATTCGCTTAGTGGAATTTTACATTTTCTTTTACGCTTAATATTTTGGTAGTTGTCTGATGTCTCATGCTTAGTTTTTATGCTTTATAGTTGGTTGGTCAAGTCTCTCCCATTTGTCTCTGCCTCTTATGGCTTTCACCCGTAGGTCATCAGTAAGGTTTTGACACATCACAAAGGCCAGGGTGGATGGTTGTCTATACTAAAAGTTTAACACATCAATGAATGAAATCCTGGTTTCTTTTTCGAATGAAATCAGTTGTCAATAGATTTTTCATCTATTTTGTATTATCTTGTTCACCATGTGGTATATTGAGCATTCCGTGCTTTACTATTACCTCCCAGGCTGGTATGCATATATATGCTAGAGCATCAGCTAAAGGAAAACGTGTTCAGGTTAGTGCAATATTACCAAACCCCTCTCACTTATTTGGTTAAAGACATGACTAACCATCTGAAAATGCCTTAGTCCAATATGGGAGCCAAAAACCATGGCGTCGTCATGCCTGATGCAAACATAGATTCCACGATAAATGCTCTAGTGGCGGCTGGTTTTGGTGCAGCAGGACAAAGATGCATGGCATTAAGCACAGTGGTCTTTGTTGGGGAACCAAAACCTTGGTAATACGTTTCACCTTGCTTATTAGTACTCTACTTCTCTTTTATCTTTTAGTTTACCATTGACACCTTTGAGGCATGGTATTACTATTTTATCTTGCAGGGAAGAAAAGTTGTTGGAACGTGCAAAAGCCCTAAAGGTCAGTGGTGGAACAGAACCTGATGCAGACTTAGGTCCAGTAATTAGCAAGCAGGTGGGTGCATGGTTCAAGATTGCACAAACATGTTACACAATGACTTCTGCTGCTTGCAAATTTCCATGTTTATGATTCTGGATTTTTCGGAGACCACAGGCTAAAGAACGAGTATGCCGATTGGTTCAAAGCGGCGTTGATAGTGGAGCGAGATTGTTGCTTGATGGAAGAGATATTGTGGTATCTGCTTTTATCCTGTTTGTCTTCTTATTTGTGTTCTGATAGCACCCAAATTTCCATTGAGATGTTCTTTTTCATATGGATGTGTGCAAAGGGGTGAATAATCAATGATAAAGAGGCTCTAGGAAATAATTACTTTAAAAGTAGGAGAAATGAATATCTGAAATACATATCGGACATTTGTCAATATCCGCTTAAATTCAGTGTGTAAGTTAATCAGTTTATTAGTTCAAATGGTTGCTGGAGTTCAATATTCAGATAGTCATCATAATTTTAGAAGTAATGGAGCTTCTTAACAATCAAACGGGGTAATGTTTGGCAAGTCCAATCCTATTTCACTGCCCTTTATTCCGTTCAGCAAAATTGATCTTATTCTTGTGCTACTTTTGGATTTATAAATCTGACATAAGGCAAAGCAACGAGGAGGTGCATTATGCTATGTCCCCAAAACTGATCGACATGGCAAAGTTGATACTTGATAGGATAGGTTGATTTGGAATTAAACTGCATTTTAGCTAAATATTGAGTACAGTCCCTTTATGCCCTGATATAAAGGGAAAAAATTACTACTTATCAGGAAAAAAGAAGTTAGTTGTCAAACAAGAAAAGAAAAAATAGCTTTATCCTTCTTTTTCTTGCATCAGTAGTAGGAGTGGCAAACGGGCGGGTCGGATATGGTTCGGGTCGAACACGAGTAATGAAAAATCGGATAAATTATCCGACCCGATTCATTTTTAATACTGATAAAAAACGGGTTAACCGATACCATATTATCCATGACTTCTTGCATATGATCACTTTTGGGAGGATTCTTAGTCTCCCTAACTTGAGGAATCCCCAATTTGAGGTTTACAAATGTAAAAGTTAAGACACATTGGTTATCCATTTTCTAAATGGATAATATGGTTCTTACCCATATTTGACCCATTTTGAAAAAGTTCATTATCCGACCCATTTTTTAGTGGATAATATGGGTGGTTAACTGTTTTCTCTTAACCATTTTGCCACCCCTAATCAGTAGCAGTTTCTGTTTTTCATTATGACATGAGCTGTGTCTGTAAAGTTTAACTTGTTTCACCCTGATGCCTAATAGGTCCCGGGATATGAAAAAGGCAATTTTGTTGGTCCCACAATCTTGTCTGATGTCACTCCTGATATGGAATGTTACAAGGTAGCCGTCCTACATTCTCCAATCTCCCTCTTGAATTTCAGATTATGGCATATTAACCACAAAGAGTATATGCCTTTTTTGTAGGAGGAGATCTTTGGCCCAGTTCTTATTTGCATGCAGGTTAGTTGTTAACCATTCTCCATGTCGCATTACCAATACTTATCAAGTGATGTACTAAGCTAGAATTGTCATTGTGCTGCTCTCAGGCCAACAGCTTAGACGAGGCCATTAACATTGTTAACAAGAATAAGTAAGTCCTGTACCCTGTTCTGCTTTCTTTCCCTCCCACCCTCAAACTCATGTTCCGTTGAAGTGTGTTTGCGTCCTATACCAATGTCATCCTGCTTTTGCAGGTGGGGTAATGGTGCTGCTATCTTTACTACTTCTGGTGTAGCAGCAAGGAAGTTCCAAACAGAGATTGAGGCTGGCCAGGTATGATATTTCGCTGCATAAACTTGGTAACCTATTTGGAAAGAAAAAACAACTATGGTGATAAAATCCTCACTTAAAAACGTAAGAATTATTGGATAGAGAATTATGCTTCACTCTGTTTCTCTCTGTCTGTAATCCATTTATGTATCATTTGACATACCATTTTAGGTGTTGCATAATGCAATAAAGCAACATGTCCGTCGTGTAGTTTTTGTGTGTTTCTGCTTGCTGATAAAATTGTTGTGTTTTTCTTGTGCTTCCTTTTGAAGGTTGGGATCAATGTTCCTATTCCAGTTCCACTACCATTCTTCTCCTTTACCGGATCTAAGGCTTCTTTCGCTGGTGACCTCAATTTCTATGGTAAGGAACAAAGATATTCATTCTAGTCTTTATATGTATCCGCGTCCTGCTCAGGAAATGGTACTCAATTTCATTTTATTGTTTGGGATGTGCATTGTAGGCAAGGCTGGAGTTCAGTTTTACACGCAGATTAAGACAATAACACAGCAATGGAAGGATTTGCCAGCTGGCTCTGGTGTCTCTCTAGCAATGCCAACTTCTCAGAAGTAATAAAAAATGTATTGATTAACTTCAGAATACCTTTTCTAGAGTGCAATAAAAAAACTTTTACCGATATTCTCTCTCTCAAACTAGCCCCCTCATGTCCCCTGTGTTATTTTCTGTTACCGGATTTTCAATTCCTCCGGCTGAAAGTGCTCAGTTTCCCTCTCCTCCCCTTTTGTATGTTTGTGTGATGCCCTTAGAAAGGGATACAATCAGAACACCAACTACAGGAGATCAGGGTTTAGATCCGGTAGAGACAAACAATGCAGACCAATTTTTTCTGTCGAAGCCTTGGTAGGCATAATTTTCTCAGTATCAGTGCTGGTGGGAGGTAATAGGTACCCCAGAGAAATAGTCAAGGTGTGAGTTTATATGTAAATAACTCTTTTAACACTCAAATTCTCCATAAGCCACGTGATTCTCTCAAAACTTACATGGAGATTAATTAGTGAGCAACTTGGAGGCTTTTGAGACTTATAAGGGCTCGTTGCACATTTCAACAGTTTTCAGATGCATAAAAGTTGATAAAATAAAACTGAAATAGAATAACAGAAGGCTGACTAAGTAGCATTAAGAAGCTTTAGATGCTACCAGATAATACATATTAAAAGCTTGAGTTCTATGCACACTGACAGTTTGGAATTTTTTCACACCATCATAGATTAAGTCTACCTATGACAATAGGTAACTTTTCATAGCAAACCTGCTATGACCACTATCTTGAAAATATAGTAGTAATAACTAGCTATAGTCAGCTGGTTATATTATATTGATGGTGTAAAATTCTTAAACTGTCAGTGAATATAACTGATCCATATACTAAATTGATATGTCACCTATTGACATAGACCACCAGAACAAATCTGTCTATAGGTATGCCCTAATTTGAACCAAAAGCCAAATATGGAAATACTCTAAGAAGCTCCTGCATTAGCACCAGCAAAAGTTTCTTGAATTTTTGCCAAGTGCTTCCTCCCCTTAAGATGTGCAATCATATCAATCTCTCCAGAGCACCTCAAGTTACAGAAATGGCACCATAGCTTAGCCTCAGCTCGATGTCTTCTCCCACGAATATGAGATTGTAGTGTAAACACAGAGCTGGTTGTCACTTGACATATTGCACAAGTCCACTTATCCTGGAATTTTTGTACAAAAGGAGTCTCTGGGATTTTGATCAATTCAGCACTTACTGGAATGGTTGGTTCATAGACCTGTATAGCTAAACTTGCTTTCTTCTCAATCTGAACTAGTTTTTCAACCATAGTTCCAACCTGCAATTTTGCAGTGGACATGTTAATCACCAAGTTGCTGATTACATGCTCGGTTTATGAACAAAAATAGCGATAAGAAATCTGGAATCTAATGAGAGAGAGCTTGAGGAAAATAAGGGAGTATCAAATTAAACTTGGGGATTTCTTCAAAGGATTAAAAAACATAACCTGGTTTGGTTCAGCTGCATCACCTTTTGCTGTGCACTCCATTACCTCGATCTCTCCCAAAACCAGGCCATCCCCATTGCACTCGGGCTGTATAGGCCATAAGATTATTAGTTGGTGGATTTTCAGGATTGTATGTATACGCAGACAGAAAAATTCGTATTCACAAAGTAAAAGAATGATGTATGATCTAACAAAAGCAAAAAGTCAAAAATCTTGTACTTGGACTGCTAATTAAAGAGAAAATCATCGCTACGAGTATATTATATACTGAATACAAGTTGAAAGTTCCTAATTCGTCTCCCAGGAGATATATTTACATATGTGTATTTTTAAAATCTGCACCAGAAAGAGTCCAATTTTTGATAACTGAAAGTTATTGGCAATCTCACTTGTCAAATAAATTAGCCAGTTAATGTACTTATTAGAACAAATGAATATCTGATTTGACAATGAACCGACTTTTCTTGCGAAATAAATTAGCCAGTTAATGTACTTATTAGAACAAATGAATATCTGATTTGACAATGAACCGACTTTTCTTGCGAAATAAATTAGCCAGTTAATGTACTTATTAGAACAAATGAATATCTGATTTGACAATGAACCGACTTTTCTTGCGAAATAAATTAGCCAGTTAATGTACTTATTAGAACAAATGAATATCTGATTTGACAATGAACCGACTTTTCTTGCCAAATAGCACTAAGCTTACAGTGCAAAGGATCCGTAAGCATTAATAAGTGAGATTAGTAACCTAGAAAATGAGACACGTTACCGGTCAAAGTACACAAAGTTGTAATAATTCTCTATAATGTCAATGTATATAACATAAATCACCTTGCTTGCAGTAAGTTTTGCCAGACGTTCAGATTCATTCTCTTCAAAAGACCTGTCTGCTACAGCCAGAAACTTCTCTTTCTTGATAAATGAATCTTTCTTTAGCTCATTAAACCATTCAGTGACATTATATAGGTTGACATCAAGCAGTTTTACTTTCGAACATGGAAGAATAATATTTTGGTAAATGTAGAATGCCCCATTGAACTGAGGTATCACCAACCAAAAGATAGCAACTAATCTTATATATGGCCACAGAGGCACCCTGCAATGGTAGATAAGAAACATCAGTATATGGCCACTTGTAATTTAAATTCTTTATATTGTTAGTGTATATATAATTGCGGAAATATATAGAGTACGATTTATAGAATGAATTTAATTCTTTTTTTTATTATATATTACTAGCTATATATAGAGTAAACCAACTTACCATTTAATAAGATTCTCAAAAACTTGCTCGAACAGATAAATAAAAGAAAAGATGATCCAATATGTTACTAGCTTCTTCAAGTCATAGTTGGAGCCAGTCTCAATGGTTCGAATAGACACATATCTGAAATAGTACCACACAAAAGATTTGTTAACATTACCGAAAAGTGCACAGCTTAATTTAATCGTTAAAAAATTGTGGGTATTGTGCAAATTGGTATATCGAGAAGAAAAGAAAAATCAATTGTTGTAATGAAGAATTTCGAGTCTTACAGAGGATATCCTAGAGCAAGTATCGGCCTGCAAAAAATTAAAAGCAGAAAAAAACGAAGTAAAGACTATGAGTATATATGCAATCAAAGATAGATGCAAAATACATACTTGTATACTATACACGCAACATGTACTTGAAAAATTCCCTTCTTATTTCCAACTTAATTTATAAGATTTTGTATGCTCAGTTTCAATTTCTGAAGCAACAACAAAAAGCATGGAGAAATTAAGAAGAGTGAATTACCAAGCTAGAAAATCCATGCATTGGAGAGTTAGAGTGACAAGACCCATTTGAGAAAATCTTTCTTTTTTCTTTATTTATATTCCTTCAATTTTCGCAGCTTTGAGTTGTTGTGAAGTTTATTGAAATTTTTATTATGTGATCAGCCAGAACTTAGACGGCCTTTGAAGAGGAAAATTAAGAAGACGAAAGGGTATGAAAATAGGAGGTGCATTTGCTTTGTAATAAAGGACCTCGTGATTAGTGGAAAATGGATGTCATTTTCGGGAATCTAATCCCTCCTATGTTCCCATTGGAACCACATGTAACGTTTACACTAAACTATACTACAAAATCGCGGGCTATCATTTAACTTTGTGTTCATTCATGGGCGATCATTTAACTTTGTGTTCATTACCCAAAAATTACTTTTCTTTCTTTTGTCACGCCAAAATCATTTTACTATGATCTAGTTATCACATTAGTCACTTTGATCAGATTTTACAACCTTTCACCTGAAATGTTTATTATGTCCCTGGCATTATAAATCCTCCTATTTATGTAAGATCTTCTATATTATATGCTATATAATATACTTTTATCTGGGTATTTTACTTACAATTAAAATAATTTAATAATATTTTATTTATTAAATTATAATAAATTCACACTTTTAATTTTTTTTCTTTACGTTAATTTCAAGATATATAAGTAGAATTATTAAATTTATTGGTAACATTACCATGAACAAATATCAAGTCCACATTCTTATCTATGCTTAATGAAATATTTCTAATGGAAATTATAAAATCAAAGCTCATTAATTTATCTGCCAAGCCATACCCATTAATTCAATAAGTAAAATACCCACATTTAGCAAAATGACATATCAGATTAATACTTTAAATAAATAATATTAACAGATAAAGTTTTAAAAAACTTAATATTAAACACAAATATCTTTGAAATTTCTTTTAAAAATTTTATTGGCTATTAAAATATCATTTGTTAAATAAATATATTTTTATTATTTCAAATAAATATTAAAAATAAATATTTTTTTATTATTTTTATATTTAAAATATGTTCATGTTTGAATATGATTAATCAAATTAAGTATCATGGAAAGACTAAATGTATGGATATATCAAAAAATAAATAAAATGATACTTATAAAGTTATTTTAGTTATAAGTAAAATACTTAGATAAGAATATATTATATAGTATATAATATAGAGGGTATTACATAAATGAGAGAATTTATAATGTCAAGGGCATAATAGACTTATCAAGTAAACGTATTATAAAATTTGGCCAAAATGACTTTAATGATAAATAACAAAAAGTAAAATGATTTTTGTGTAACAAACGGAAAAATAATAATTTTTGGGTGATGAATACAAAATTAAATAATTTTTACGTAACAAAAAGAAGAAAAAATAACTTTTGCGTATAGAATTTTGAATGACCACCCACCAAAATTACTTTATAAACTGAGGTGACAATGTGTATTAATCAACTATAATTTAATAATAATCATATCTGTGATGAATGTGTTAATATTCATTGGATTGGTGCAAATACCTTGTATCAGTAACTTTTACTGTTGTGATTTACTCTCCTCTTAGAAAAATGAAATGAGGCCTGAGGTTTCTCTTCTGTTTACTTTGGTTTATCCTATGGAATTTAATAATGATAAAAAAAAACACCCTAATTAATGAAGTTTGGTGCAACTTAATCCGATTCATCCTTTTTTGCTTTTCCCTTTGTACAGTAATTTGTATTTTCATTTTCTTTGTAAAGTTTTTGTTTAGTCCCATTAAAGTATATTTTGTTTAAAATCTGTTATATATCAATGGAGAAATTTACAAAAAGCAACCAATACGCGTGTTGATCCGCTCACAACTCTCTTTATTAGACCAATATATACTACAAGGAAACTGTCACGATCCGGATTTTCTACCCTCGGGAGTCGTGATGGCGCCTACTAGTGAAAGCTAGGCAAGCCAACTAACTGAACTATTTACCTTGTTTCTATTTTTAGTCCGATAACAGGTAAGAGCCAACAATTAGATAACAACAGAATTGAATAAGCGGAAGGCTGCATTGTAAAGTTTTAATCATACTACTAATACCAATCCATAACAAATTTACCCAAGATTGGTGTCACAACTTCACAGACTGTCTAGAAGTACTACAAATAAAGGTCTGAAAGAAATAAATACAACATTGCCTCTAGAAATACATGAAAGAAACAGGAATAGTAGATAGAAAGAGACGCCAAGGCCTGCGGACGCCTGCAAGACTACCTCGGGTCGCCTGATGAACAAGAAACAACAATCTCACTGCGGTCCGAAGTCTACAGCACATGAATCTGCACAAAAGAGTACAGAGTGTAGTATCAACACAAACGACCCCATGTGCTGGTAAGTGCCTAGCCTAACCTCGGCGAGGTAGTGACGAGGCTAGGACAAAACTACCAACTAAACCTATGCAGTTAAAGTATATATATAGCAAGTAATAATAAAGGAAACTAGCAGTTAAAGAGGGGTAGGGGACATGTTGTGGAGGGATATCATTTACCAACAGTAACTCAGGAGAAAAGTATAAAGAACAATTTAAAATTCACAGCAGAAAGAAAACGGAAACAGTAACCAAATCAATATCCACTTTTATCCTTTATTGTTGCGGCGCGCACCCCGATCCAAATCATAAAACACTGTTGCAGCGTGCAACCCGATCCAAATCATAAAACACTGTTGCGGCGTGCAACCCGATCCAATCATAATATTTTTGCGGTGTGCAACCCGGTCCAATCATAATATTGTTGCGGCGTGCTACCCGATCCAAATATAATATTGTTGCGACATGCAACCCGATCCAAATATAATATTATTGCAGCGTGCAACCCTATCCAAATATAATATTGTTGTGGCGTGCAACCCGATCCCAATATACAATTCAACCCCAATCACAAAGGAGCCCCGACAAGGGAATAATAAGGGAACAACAATATCCCCGCAAGGGAATCAATAACATCATAATAAAATCAGGTAACAACAGAAAATCAGTAAATAAACGTAAAGGACAACATAACTCAATTATCAGCAAGATTCAAGAAAATCAAGAACAAGTGCACAGTATCACCCTTCATGCTTTAACACTCTCTTACCAAAACAATAATCACAAGAAATAAGGGCAAGGAAATAAATAAAATCACAATTGTCACACCTCCTTTTTACCCGCGCCGCAAAGGCACAAAGGGAGTTTTTCCGATTAAAGGACAATCGAAACAGGATTTGTTTATTTAATTCAGAGTCGCCACTTGGGAGATTTATGNTCCTAATTAATTAGGAGCTTTCAATAAATTAAGAAAATCGTAACATACTAATTGCTAGATTAAGACAAATATTAATGGAAAGGAATTTTATTACAAAAAAAATCGAAATTATAAATAAAATAAGAAATTCGACAACTAATATTCAAAAGAAATCAAATATAGCTAGATTGAAGCTCGTATTGTTATATATAAAAAAACTATTGGAATTAATTATTCACAACCATTTGAAACTAGATTTAACCATAATTACTAAAGCTTATTAGAAAGTTTATTAAACTTAAACATTATCTAGTCTTGTTTGGCCTTAACTAAATTTAGCTACCCATTCATGATTAACCTACTGTTGACCATATTAAAACCTTCATAACTAGTGAATTAACCCATTTTGCCAAGCTGATTCACTAAAGACCAACTTATGTTATTTTTCTCTTATTCCAATTATTAAAGAGTAATACATGAAATAGCCTAAATACAATCAGTAAAAGAAACGAAGAAAAAGAGAAATTAAAACTTCAAAGCTCCATTCTTCATATGTATTTATGCTTTCACATTTTTAGCTTACAATATCGACAAGGTTACAGCCATGTACCTGGTATTGAATACAAGAGAAAAGGAAGATGAGAATCAGCAGCAGTAGTAACAATACAACACAACAACAACAGTCTAGCAACAGTAATAGCCCAGGAACAGAGTTTGCAAACCGGTGGAGCAGTAACCCAAAAACCAACCAAACTTAGGAAAACCAAGTAAAGACCCGAAAATCTCAATAACTTTCACAGACAAGATAGAATCAACCCAAAAAGACCGAAGAGACTCTGGGATAATTTTGATTTTTGTTCTTTTAAGATTCGCAGTCGAACACTCTCAAGATTAAAAGTCTGTTTTTATCTCTTTTTGGTTCTGAAATTTCTATCTCCAAATTCAGTCCTTTTCTTCCTTTTTTCTTCTTCTTTTTTCTAAGTGTTAAATGAGTCCTCTTATACCCAAAGCAAGACTCCCTTTTTCTTTTTACCTCTCTACTTTTCCCCCAATATTCTTCTACTATGTATAACTTTTAACTTTTTATTATTACCTATACTATTTCTGATTTTTACTTAAGTAAAAGTAGTCAACACAGACCCCACCGTTCCCCCTTTTTGAATGGTCAAAGAAGACATCATCATTAACCCCCTCTTTTTGCTTTACATCATTTTGTCTTGTCCCCCACTACAACATTTTAATATTATTAAGCCTAGTGGACGGAGCACTTCAAATTAAATAAATCTATAATTGGTTAATTTCCGTATTACCCCTAAAACTACTGTTACAAGTCTGATTCAAAAATCTGTTCAAACTTCAAAAATTATCTAAGAACTAAAATCAAATTAACAGCTATAACCAATTCACCTAATCAATTAACCAAAATATAGCAACTATAACAAATTCTTAATCAAATTCAATCAACAAATTCAAACTAAATGATGAACAACAAAGAAATAACTGGAATTATTTTGACTAAACAATATCTTTAAACAACAAGCCTACTTTCAGATTCAACAACAATATCAAACAATCATATTCAAATTACTGAGTTCAAATTAAAATTAAGCTTAAACAGAACAAATAAACAAATTCAAATGACTGAACTAAATAACCAATTGAACCTCAAACTGAATCTAACAATATTAGAGTCAAGATGAAGGATTCAATTTATCAAACTAACATATTTTTATATTAAAACTAAATCCTTTTAAATGAATAAAAACAAACTAAAGAAATAATTAATTGAACTTCAACTTAAATCTAACAATATTATAATTAAACTAACAATTTCTATATTAAAAATAAACTAGAACAAATGAAACAACCTGAAACAATAATCAAGAAATGATAAACACGAACAAAAA